TTGTTTACTCTTATTTTTCTCTTTTCTTCTTTTTAGTATTAATATTAATGTTAGTGTTTTTTTCTTTTTTTCACTTTCCTACAAGAAGATGTCATCAGATTGGTGATATTCTATTATAGGATGGTGGTCTAATATAACTTTCTAGAATAGGTAGTCTTCAGATTTTTGTTGATTTACTGTAATATGTCTCTTGTAGATTTATTAGCCTAGTATAGCAGGTCGCTTATAAATGCTTATAGAAGTAACTGCAAGATGTCAGATCTAAATGTTAAGCTTAAAGTATCCTATACAGCTTGTAACAAGACAATTTTAATAAAGAATCACTGGCAAAACTGCCAAAGTTGAAAAAAAAAGCCAAATATATATATGCTTCAAAATAGTTTTTTTAATAGAGATTATATTTAAAGAAATTAAAATAATTAAAAATAAAATAAATTTGTAAATTTAACAAGATATAGAATTGATTTTCCAATCATGTGATCAACCAAAGCCTATAGTTTTAGAACAAAAATGCACATTTATATTTGGGTTTGTAATTATTTTAAAGTTAGCAAGAGTTGCTTAATAGCCCAAAGCCTATAGTTCTAAAACAAAAATGCATATTTATGTTTGGGTTTGTAATTATTTTAGGGTTAGCAAGGGTTGCCCAATAGTAAAATTGCATAAAGAATTTTTTTATTAGAACCCCAAAGGCAGTTTACTAATAAAAGTTTTAAAATAAATGTGGTTTTTGCAAAGTGAACGTTTGTTTTGATTTTTTTTATATTACACCAGATCCTGATGTTTAATTAGCCAATTGTTCTCGGAAAATCATGTGATCGGAAAATCTATCCTACACCCTGATGTTGTTTAAATTTGTAATTTAAATAAAATTACAAATGGTGATATTTTAAAAATCTATTATAACATATATGTGATAAGTATGAAAGAAATCTTGGAGTTACTGAAATCTAAACGAAAGTTCTGTAAGAGGTAAGAAAATGGGTTGTAAATATATTTATTATAAGTTATATGAAAAAAGGCTTCAGATTTCAAAAATAAATATTAAAGATTGGGTTGATAAGGATGAAAAGAAAATATTTATAGCTTTTAACTAATATTCTAAATAATCATGGCATACTCATAAGAAAGATAAATATATGCCTCACTATATTTTAAATTTTGAAACACGTTTGTGTAACTATCCATCTTTAGCTATAAAAAAAATTTTCTTAATTTTGTCAATCAACCCGGACTCGCTTTCATTTGACAAATGAAGAATTACTTCAATTTCAGAAATTCGTATTTTAATTATCTGAATAACCAAGTTATATTATACGTGACTAAAAATTATAAATCACAAATTATTTATTTGGCTGAAAACTCATAACTAAATTAAAAACCGAACTTTAGACACTAATTCTGGTTGCTTTCGTTGGTTTTCTTGTTGTTTAAGATACAATTTTTTGAACTGATTGGCCGCACTATCACGCTGAACCAAATCACCAGACGCATTGTAAACATATACTATTACTTGCACAACATCGATCAATTCAGATATGGATTCTAGACGCTGAAAGCCTGCTCGAACCAAATAAAAAAAGAAAAAAAGGAAAAAAAAACAAATTGGTAACTAGGGCAATAAACACCATATTTACGAATAATTGGCAGAACATAATGATACCTACCTGCTTGTGCACGGCGAAGAGGAATTAAAACATCATCCCATGGTATGGATTGTTCGCGTTGAGCTATAGTGTTTAAATGTTGATTCGTCATTCAATTCGTTTTCAATAATAGAGTGAATAGTTACCTCTTATATCTCGAGTAATGCATCCAAGAAGGCATTGAGCGTAAATAAAATGACCGACTGACTGCATGCGCAAGGTGTGTTCTGCCAAAATCTATAAACAATGGCCGCATAAAGAATAAGTATTTAGAGAGGAAATTTTAAATAGAAAAATATTATACAATTAACTTACAACAGGCATGATGTTTTCAATCATGATTTTTGCTCTTGTTGCCAGGTTAAAGTGAAGCAATATCTGCGCAAGCCGTATCTTTGCCATGAAATAACAACTTTGATGATGAAATCGTTCACTTATACATAAGGCACTTAAAACATAAGGTAATGCTGAAGTTGGATCTTCAGTTTCCTACATCAAATTATAATGAGCTCGTTCAATTCTTAAAATTTATTTAAAATGATATTCAAACATAAATCACATACTATACGGATTTCAGCAAGTTTAAGATAATAATTGGCAACCAGCATCTGATTTTGAGAACCTAGTCTGGAGCTCTTTTGTATAAGTTCATGTAAAAGATCCATAGCCTACAAATTAATTCCTTCATTTAAGATATTTTAACGATTTAAGTTCAAAGAATTAGGTGCACTCAATAATATATCTCACTTCATCTGGTCGATCAATCCTTGCCAGATATAAAGCTCGATTATAATTAAAGTCATCTTGTAAAACCTCGTCATCCTGACAACTTCCACGAAGTTGCACCTCCAGTGCTTCAATACTTGCACGTTCATCTCTTAAAAATTAGTGAATTATAATTTGCGCAAAACGCCTAATAAAAAAAAATCCATACATATTGGTTTATGGTAATGGAAATTTTTTTACCTTGCAAAGCACTTCTGATATAAGACTTTTTCTAAGCAAACAACCCATTGTAAAGCTGCTCTACGTATTCCAAGGAATTTTTCTTTAGATTCTTCAAGCAATTTAAGAGCTTGTTCATAATTACCATATGAAACATGCTACCAAAAAATGTATATGCGGTGTAATTATTATAGCCCAAAATAACTAGGTTGATGTTTTCGTACGAAACGATGAATTTAAACAAAAAATGAGATATTACGAGATCCGCCATCTGGCAATAGGCAGTTACAAGATCTTCTGGACTAGTATCAGAATGATCAATAACCTCTGATGAGTACAAGGCAGATAGTGCAACATTGCCTGAAGTCAAAAAAAATTTTAATAATGGATTGGATTAATGCGAGATGATTACTTTGACGAATATTAAAATACCATAAATTTGCCATACACTTGCATTTAATAGTTGTCCTTGAAAGCGCATGGTTTTGAATGGGCAATTCATATTCAAAATAGAACTTCGAAGTAAAGATTCAAAAACCTCCGTTGGTGACGCGCCCTGAAATTTAATAACGAATTAATGCTGAAATTTCGTATAATTGTAGTTTAAATGTTCAAATATAAATGAATTATAATTTTTAGGAACATTATATTTCACCTGTTGAATCTGGCGTTGAGAGTTCCCAAGTTCCCCAAGAGATTGCAGATAAATGAAGTTGGATTGCTTGGCTTTGCTAATGAGTGAATCGAGCATCTGTTGATCAGTCGCGTCTACCCGTTTTGTGGATGTCGGTCCATTTGATTTGAGCCGATACAACCAACTACAATTTTATAACTTTAATTATCATTGAGTAATATTTGAAGAAAACGCAATAAGAATGAACATTTGCCTCAATGCAAAACGAAGGCACTCTTGGTCATTATTCTCTCGAGCCATTTCTATTGCTTCACGAATAGCCTGTTAACTCATTGAATTAGTTATATATTATTATTAAGAAAAATACTGTATAAAGTTATAGACGAACCAATAATGCCTGCTCCCTGTGTCCGAATTTTGCATGAAGGACCACCAGATTCAATAAAACGTACTGATACCAATTCCTATAGTGTGGTCGTAAAGTTTGTGCTATATATTATAATTCATTGCATGTAAGCTAAATAGTATACCAACCCACCGGTTTTCTACGTCTTCTGGGCAAAAATTTGAATATTTGTAAAAATTCGTCAGCGCGCCCTCGTACTCTCCGGATTGCATACAATTAACATAATCAATATAATATATGGTAGATATTTCAGGCATTCTTTTATGTATCACCCGAAGTTTGCTTTCAAGTTCAGGAGGTAAGATACCACCATATTTGCGAAGCTGAGTAATTATGTAATGTGAAAAGGATTCTGCATCACACTTGGCTATAAGATCTTGTTTGCACATATGATAGCGATGCGTGACCTCTGAAAGAACAGAAGAAAACTCTCCCGACTTATAGCAAAGATCCATGTTTTCTTTTCCTTTTTTTGAGAACAGCACAGTTTTGTCCGTCTTATATTTAACAAATGCATTGTATAACCTGCTAATATCATCAAACAACAACCTTTCGCTTTCAATATAACAACGCCGAACGAAAATTCCCAATATACTATATTTTCCAAGAGGAATTGGAGTAGAATCACTTTCTTCATTTGTTGTCAGTTTTTTAGAATCTTTTATCAGTTCAATTAAATCGTGAGGGGAATCCATTGACTTTAGGTGCGTAAGCAAAGCTCGTTCTAATGACGATTCACATTCCCGTTGAATTTCGGTGCAAACTTTTGACAACGGGCATGTCCTTTGGTGAATTTCATCACAAAATTCTTGTAATGTTGGTTCAGGAAAACGATGTTCGTTTGATATTTTTTCTATCAAGAAGAACAAGAGTGTTTCTAATAAATCATCTTCAATAGCAGTCTCAAAGTATATAGAAAGTAGCACAAGCAAAGATATTTTATGAGGTGTTAAGACAGAAGTTTTTGCTATATATATTTCTGAATCCATCACTCAAAGAAAACTGAAAAAGATCTAATCAGCCAATTATATTTAATCGTATTCATCTTGCCACCAAAATTTCACTGGCACGTGATCAAATCGATCGCGTATTGGGGTGTTCTCTAGCAGATCACATAGTGATGATCACTTATTAATGATTCAACGATAGTAGTAAAAACATATAAAATTCAAATTGCAACAACTCTTAAACCAGCAAACCCACACAAATAAATTTATATATATCGGGTTCATTTTAGCAGGCCCTTTATTGTTTGGAGCATATCGGAGGACTCAATTTCAGTGAAAATTGGCATTTTTGATGTTTTTTTAATAAAAACATCAAACCCGTAACTTTTGCAATAATGATAGACAAAAAATTTAAGTTACTTTTTTGATATATTTATTAAAAATGTATCAAAAACGAAAATTTTGCACTGAAATTGAGTTTTTTTCTATACTTCAAACAATAAAATAAATCAAAAAAAGGCGTTGTTACTTTAAAGAGTATGCTAAAATGAACTCAATAAATGAAAATTTATTTGTATGGGTTCGCTGGTTCAAAAGTTATTGCAGTTTGAATTTTATATGTTTTATTATTATACTATCGTTGATCTATAAAAAATCATTGATAAGTGATCATCACTATGTGATCTGCATTATGTTTGTAATTAGACCCGATAGAAAACACCCAGGATCCTGAATAATACTAATAGAGGTTACATTAGCTCTAATATAAACTTTTTACAAATTTTATTCAAAATCTGCAACTCTAATTGGTTGAACCTTATTTTAACCAATCAAAGTTGCAGAAAAGTGGATAATGCAGCAATGTAACCTTTACTTGCATTGTTCAGAAACCTGAACACCCCAATCATATATACTTATTTTTGCAAGTGATACAAATCTAAAAAAGAAATTTTGTATATGTAGATCACCAGTAACTCAAAATTTTGTCTAAGAAATCACCTTTTACATTTTAATAAAAAAAAATTCTGGTCAAATTTTATAATATTCTTTATACAATACCAGACATTCAAAAGCATCAAATTTAAGGATTATATAATTAATTCTGATTGGTTAATTTGTATATAATTGATTCTGATTGGTTAAAAATATATATACAGTAAATAGCTTTTTTTTATATAGTAAATGCCAAATTTTTAATTACATATAAACTTTAAGTTGTAATAACTTTTTAATCTTATAAGATAAATAAAAATCATAAAAATTTATTTTTACAAAATTGTAACTCAGAAGAGTGTGGTGACTTAGTGAAGTGGTGAAGTTGTCACACCTCAAGTGGTCAAGTACAAGTTCAATCTTTATAGAGAGTAAAAATTGAATTTAGAAAAAACCAGATTCAACAACTATCGTTGTAGTTGAAAAACTCGTAACTTTGTAATTGTAGTTATACCATGTAATGGTTATATCAGAATTAGAAGATCTTTGAGTATTTGTGTAATAAAAGAGTTATACAAAGGCATACAAGCTGGTTTTAGTCAGTGCAAACCCAAAATAAGTCTTTAAAGATTGCAGAAAGCTAACAGAGCTTATATAATAATGAGGTGCTCTTTGGCAAGTTCTGAATAAAAAGGTAGTAAAGACTTTTGACAGTACTACTAAAATAGGCTTCACCTAAAGCTGGCAGAACTAAATGAAGATCAGATATTTAGAAAGAGGTATTTTATTAAGGGGCTTTCAGAAATCAGCTGATTAGGGTTTACTAAGTGATCATCTCAACCCACCTCTACCCACCCTCACCTGATATCCAATTAGCCAATCAGATTTTACGATTATTAAAACTTATAATTAAAATTATATATAATATAAAATATTGAATAATTTTTAATCAACTGAATCAATTGTGATAATTTAACTACCAAAATAATCCTCTTATTAAGAAGATTCTAACAAATCTAAAATTATAAAAATTCAATTACTAGAAGCTAAGATATGAATAGTTTTATTTTACTATATAATAACTTAAAATAAAATATATTTATAAGGGTATAGCGACTTAGTGAAGTTGGCAAGTTGTCACACCCCTAAGCAGCAGGACTAAAGTTCAAATCCTACTGGTGATAAAAATTCAAATTATAGAAAATGTATTTGAAAGACTATATCCTATTGGGTTGTAGAACCTGTAATGGTGATTGTATCAGCTTGTACTGAGAGGTAGTGGAATATATAATGTGATGTATGAGTTACACGAAATCTGAGTGAAATTACCAGATAAATCTAGCGAATTTACAGGATACGGAAGTCTGCTTAGCAAGACCCGAGTAGAGAGGTAGCACAGATCTTTAATGGTTACTATGTAAAGGATGATCAATCAAATATCAGAAAACCAGACAGGACTGAGGTGTTTAGCAAAAGCACTATACCAACCAACCCAACAGGGAAAAACAAAGGAAGAGTCTGCCTTTCCAGGCTGTAGGATTGGGAGTTTGGGTTTCCAGAGGTATGGGAGAGAGTCTATAAAGTAGGTACCAGGGTTTGGATGAACTCTACAAAGGCAGTAGTAGGTAACTATAGCGGCTTTGGCTTGCAAGTACTTGTTCTCAGACTCAGCATAAGTTACCAAAAAGGCCTAGTCTGAAAATGTGTAAGACATAGAAGATTAGAGGGTATATACTACACCCTCCCTAGGGTAACCCGGTAAGTATAAGAACCCTACTGGGTTATCTATAGAATTAGGGCACAAGTAGTATAGCACATGTCGATCTGGGTGGTCTTTAAATGTAGCAGCACGAGGTTATGGGCTGGCGTAATTGTAGGTCATAGTAAATGTACTATATAAATACCTAATAAAAATTCGCCTATTCGCGACATTGCGAGGGAAAAAAAAAAAAAAAAAAAAAAGATTTTAAACAAATAAAACTAAACAAAATTGCAAAATTTAATCTAACTGAATCTGTAATTAATAAATTATTTTAACTAAATTTGTAATCAAACAAAGATATTTCTTAAATATAAATAAAATAAGACAAAAATACAATAGCAACCTGTTGGGTTTGGGCCCTATAGCTTAGTGGTTAAGCTACCAAACACCCACAGACTAGATCGACGGTTCGAGTTGGGCTAGAGGCAAAATCTTAGGATTTTAGCTTCTGTAATCCAATAGGGGGCTATAATCAAATATAGAGCCCTGTGGTTAAGTCCAAGTACAAGTACAAAACCAGAAAAAGAAATTTCTGAAAGAAGGTCCAATCATGAAGTGGTGGCACTACGTATGACAGGTTATAGAAGGTTTTGTTACACAAAGGTTATGCATGTTAGTCCTTGATTAAGGGTGACTGGAGCAGCACCAACATCCTTAGTGGTTAGGGTACTTAATTAGAAAAGTGACACGATGGTAACAAAACTGGAGTAGTGAGAAAAGTGATGAACATGAGGATGACTTGTGATAAAGAATTGGTCCATCTAGAGTTCAAAAGCACCTCTGGCCCCAAGCTACTTGGTTTATTAAAGAAGAAACCTGTGAAAACAGAGTGAGAAGGCTGAAACTCGGGGGTACATGATAAAAACTTGAAATGGCTAGATTTACCAGGCTGGTAATACAATTGTATAAACCAAACTTGTATACTAGAAATTGATAAGGAACACTAAATACTGAAATTAGAAGTATTACAGATCACAAGCTGCAACTAGATCTAGACCTCTAGAGCTTTGTAACCTAAAATATCAAGGCACCGGAATACTATAGCTTAAACTATAAAAGAGAAATAATACGAAACCCGCAATCTGGAAGTTATGAATTAACCTATAATGCAATACAGCAAGTCTGTACCAACATACAGGAGTACCTACCTATAAGGTAATGAAAATCGGCAGCATACTAACTAAACTAGATGTTAATGATGAGGCTTAATCTAGACCAGTATGAGTTCCTTTTTGTGATACTACCTAGACAGACTAGCTAAAGATAACCAAGATTAGAAGTAGCCCTTGAGGCTACGAGGCCATATCCCAGAAGAGATTACCAAATTTGAGAGCTTAGATATAAGTAATATGAGAGATGCGAGGAATGACGTTATAGAAAAGTATACCAAAATAGGACTAGTGAAAAGTGAAAAAATATTAGATGAATAATATCCATAAGGACGTACCACTTTGGTAGGTTTGGATCGCAAATAATGAATTGGTGACCAGATAGCAAATAGAGACACCTATTATACAAATGATGGTTTCGGCCAGAGTGTAGGTAACCAATAGGATTCAGGTCTGAGCTTGATGTACTTAATATATGTAAATATGGAAATGTAGTAATACATATAATAAAAGTATTAATAATAAATAAAGTCATGAGCAAGATCCCATCTGAACACCAAAAAAAAACAAAAAAACAATAGTGACCTATTACATAGCAACCTCTATATAATTGACCAATCATTTTTTAGATTGGTGATCATATATAAACAATGATCATTGTTTGATAATCATTGTTTATTTTTTTTTCTTGCTATTAGAATTGTCGCCATTGATGTTTCTTCTAGGTTGAAGTTTTCTTGGAGTCATTGCTATTAGAACGTCGCAATGTAGAAGTTTTTTGTTTTCTTTCTCATCTTTAACTAATACTTCTTTTTCTTCTAGATCAAAGTTATCTTGGAGTTGTCACTGCTAAAATATCACAATGTAATTTCATCATTTTGGTGCTGCTTTTGCCTTTTGCTAAATGTTTCACCTTTTACCACTTTGCTAGAATTTCACTATTTCACCAAGGTTTCACCATTCATCAGGGTTTCATTTTTCATCAGGAGGTTTTTTTTTTAATTCAAGTTTTTTGTTTCTGATTTATTATAATAAATTAAACAGCAGATGGGTTAGTGGTTTAGAAATTCAATAATATTTATTCATAAAAAGAAGTTTTTTTTTCTTTTTTTTTTCTTCTTTTCAAACTTTTCTTTTTTTTATTAATAATTTTGTCATTAGTGTCACTATATTTGGTGTTTCACAATTTTAGCAGCAGGTGGGTTGTAGTTTCAAATAGCAGATAGATTAGTAGCTTC